GTCAAAACATTCTGGTGTCTGAGCCAGAGTGTCATCGAATTGTGATGTAATGTAAACAGAAATTATAGCAAGTTGATGTCAGTCAGCTTAGATGGTCCAAGCCAAAATTATATCGCATTTGAAGTTTCAAACTGAGTTAAAAATAGTGGAAGAAAAGCCGTAATTATACTTATTGTTACAATCCATTTAATAAAATGCAACATTTGTTTGTTTTAATGAAAAAATCAGTTATTTTCATGAGAACGATTTGTTATTCCATCTCAATTTTTTTAATCTCCAATCGCAATAACGTAAAGTATTATTACCCGCGAACCAATGAGTCAAATTTACGAAACAACCCACTGTTAGAAAGCTGAATGGCTACGCTGTAAAATGAATGTAAACTTTAACGTTTTCGTCTATTATTTGTTTAGCAATTTACATTTCAGTCGAGGATTGCGCTTTTTTTGATACACCCTGTATATATAGATTTTTCAAAATTTTTGACAATAAAACTTTATAATAAAATGACTACTGTGCAGCTTATTTTGAACTTGCTCACAACTACCAAAATGAAATTCCCAAATTATTCGAAAATTGTCTAACATATTTCAGTAAGACTGCTGCCGTTGCCTGAAACTTGCTCGTTGAGGCAGAAGACATTATAGACTACAATCTCACTAACCTGCAGTGGCGTTGATAAAGAGAAATTTTCACACCAAACTCCACAACATATCACCCCTTCTTCTCTGCCTTTCCGAGAAATATGATCTGTTATTTTCTAAAATTTGAAGAAAACGGCTTTTATAAACTTTTGCAGTACAATTACCGAAGAACCTACAGTACCAGGTCGACGACATTGCCGGGCAGGGTGGTAATCTCTGAAGAGATATTCATACGAATAAATGCGTGAGGATACGGTAGGATATAAAAATGCTATTTGGGATATGTATATGCAACCGTCAACACATGCAATGGCGCAATTTAATAGAGTATAAGGTAATTTTGCGGGAAAACACAGGAAGAAGAGAAGCCAAGTGACTGAGGACGAAAATTGAAGATGATTAAGGTGGACTTGAATAACTTAGTTCTGCACTTCACTTGGTGGAATTAATATTAGGATGTTAGGGTTTGTAACCATTAACCCCATCAAAAGTTTCCCCCAAAGTTTCTAGGAGGCCTCAATCCCTAGATTCCCTACATCAATTGTAACAATATATATTGTATATTATTAAAAGACTGTACATCGGAAAATTGCCCGAAACGCAGATAAAACTGTATCCAATCCCAGCAAAACAATTGAACATATATCTCAGTACCCTTAGATCTGATAGTTCCTCTTCACCACCACCCTGAATAATTATCAAGATGCCGTTTTTCTCAACACTTTGTAAGTCTTCTATTATGATATTTCTTCTCGAATCATTTTCTGACTAAATGAAAGAACGTATACATACAGTATAAAATTACATTTGAATGAAATTATGCAAAGATTAAGAATCTAAGTGATTGTTTCAGAATTGATGGATTTGGGAGCCTCAAAAGAGAACTTACACATGGATGCTGCTGAAGTAATGAAAAATTAACCAGGATGTTCACTTTACACAATCCAATCTCTTTCACATTTTCGATCTACAATTGAGAAAGGTATTGTACATGCTATTATTCTGAACAATGCAGTACAATGGATTACTCACTCTCAAAGATCGCAACTCAAAAAATTTACATTAATTCGTTTTTAAACCTATTACAAATTAGAAAAGAATTAAATAATATAAAAAGAATAGAAGAAATACTCATACAGGAGTGTCTGTAAACTTTAACTGTTTTTCATGTACAGTACTGTATCCCTTCGACCAATTTATATATATTATACTGTACTGTACTGTAAGCCTTAATAATCTTACCTCGACACCCTTTATTTTAAACTGTTCTCTAATAATTTCCTCAAGAACGTGGCTACTCTCATATCCGGAAAATAAAGCATGTCGTCGTAGCCGTTCTGGAAAGAAAGGCAAATTTAAGAACCTTACTGATAACATTACAGTCACGTACAGGTCAGTGGCTGCTAAAAGCTTGTAAAAAATAAAATTGCATTATTAGAGAGAAATTCTCCCTAATCTCCCCCATATTATACAGATTAAGTAAGTTTGTTGAAGGAAAGCATATTCATAAAATACCACATGTCTAACGACAGAGTTTAGTTCATGCATGCTACTGTATAATATAGAAAGTAATACATGAACAAAATATATAGAATAGAAAATTTAGATAAAATGTCGAATACTGGCTAGCTAGTAGCTATACAGTATAACCATGTGAGTTTCGATATTTTCTTATCCATGCATTTATTTCAATTCAAGGCGAACGATAAAATTACGATTTAAACGACCGAATACACAAACAGAGTTGCAAAAAAGCTGCGGGTACGCGGGTACCACTCGTGAGGTTTACCATATGTGACGTCAGTGAGGAAGGTTTAATATGGAACACTCTACTCCACATTAACACCATGCATAAAACAACCAAATGATACTTGACTCGGCATCTTGAGGTTGGTAGGATGCTCATATTGTACTGAAAACAATTGTGATAGTAACGATACCAGATGACTATTACCTTGAAGAATACTGAGGAGGAAACAATAAAAACTGAGTAGGAAATAGGATATTAATTTGAGGATGGTTTAAAAATTTTACCCGGAGGAAGATTGAACACTTTGGACAACTGTGTACACGAATACTTACCTTTTATTATGCCTTCGGCTGCAAAGATGTCTTTTTTATAAGTTACCTGTTGTTTAAAATTGAAGAAGTACCATCAATGAGTATATAAATGATTGAATGGTACAATAACATGAGTATCACAAATTATCGTAAATACAGTAAGATACACTGGGAAAAAATGTGAAATCCATACTATGAGATTTGTAATTGCACCACTAAATCCATAGTATATCCATACTATTTCGATACTACATCCATAGTATGGAAATATACAATTATTATGGATAATCAAGAATCCATCCTATTTCCAATAAAGGTCCATACAATTTCCATTCTATGGATTTTCAAATATTTTTCCAGTGATATAGCAATATATCCTGAAGATATTGAGTTATAAATCATGTCGTATACCACTGTACCTTCCAAAGGTAATCTGGTCCATCAATTAAAAATGCTCGAACACTGCTGTATTTGAACGCAAGATGTAAACACTCAGTACCAAAATCAAAATCATCTTGTGTGCACTAAAATGACACAAGTATACATATAGACATGGAAATTACAATCTTGCGTTTACAACCACTATCACTAATAACGTTCCTGGGAAAATACAATGTAAAAGTGGGGAAAATAAATATAATAAAGGGATGAACATTCTATAAAAATGTAAAAAGAAACGTATTCGGAAGAATAATGAGATATATTGAGAGACATCAGACAGAGTTTGACTCTGATGTCGAAAAAATCGAAATGATTCCTGATTTGGTTTGATGTTTTACTGCACTAAACTTAGTGTTAAAAATGAGTTAAGGAAAAGAATAGAGTGAGCAGGAAATCTATATATTGTATATTGCAGTCATGTAATCTCTGGTTTTTATATTACTGTGTATCTTAGTATTTACCTTTCGATATGCATTGAGAATAACATCATACTGAAAAGCTTGAGGCATTTCACTGGCGACGAACTTTGACCTAAATACACATTACAATTACATGTAATATACAATGTTAAATTATGTCATTTCCTTCCCTGTATCGGGGCAGCGGACTGGTACTGTACTCGTACTCGGTATAAATATTTCTAGAAATACTGTTACTTTCTATGTATTCAATATTTTTTGTTGACAAAGAGTTTTGTTCAAAAGCTGGTCTTGCCAGCTGGTTATGCCAGTTTCTGGACAAGGAAGTTCGAAGAAGTTCGTGTGTACAGACGTCAAGGAAACTTGACAAGTAATTGCGCAGTATGTCACTGCGCATTCATCTTCGAGTGGACATTGCCATTAAATCTCGGCTATTTTGCAATTGGCTTTTGAAGTGTGATATCGTAGACAGATTCAATTTATTTTAAGTTTTGTTGGAAGCAACTTTGAGCGAAATTTAACATGGGATTGTTTACGTACATAAATAGCGCGGGCTTGTAATACTTGTCAAAAAAAAAACACACGTCGTACACACGAGCAAGCACAGGGCTTAATTTAGTCCTCAATGATCTCCTTTTTATTCGACCAAAGTGATGGGAGTACAATGCATCAGCATATGCTGTGGTTATACCTGTCCAATGAGTGGTCAAGAAATCCACTTGTGTTTCTAGCTAATACAGTTGATACTAATGGTCTTACAACCCCACAGGCCTAAAAATATTTGAAATGCAAACGGTTAATAGAGGACTAAATACATAAATTCAATAACAAATTAAGTATATAACTTAATAAAATTACACATTATAAAAAGCCTGGAAACGAGGTTGTGCAAATTGTGGATTTTCGTAAATGACACACACTGCAGTTATATTGCAGTATTAACGTCATCATGATAGTCTGAGCGCAGTCCTGTATACGTTGTTAAAAACTGAATTCAACATTCCCAAAGGCCAAGGCCGGATCTTGGTGGAAGTGGTGGGGGGAGGTAGAAGACATTTAGGGGAGGTAGAAGACATTTAGAGCAGGTGCAGTTCTACCATAGAGGTCTACCCATGAAATATTAAAAGGCCTAGAACGCACTCCCCTCAATTCAAGTACTGTGCGTGACGTTATGCATACACTGTACACATGTATCGTTATGATTGCACGATTCATCCAATGTTGCCCTTCTTTCGAAACAATGCACAAAAGGGTACTTCATACAGAGATGAATGGCTATCACTGTTTCAATTTTACAGAAAAAACTTTCTTGCAAAATGTAGACCCTATATAAGCAACACATCTGTCAAATTTTCACTTTGTTCTATCATTTAACATTTCCCAAAGGGAGGTGCATAACTTTTCAGGGGAGGTGCAAAAAATCTGAGGAGAGGTACCACCCCTCACTTCCCCTCAAAATCCGGCCATGCCAAAAGCTGATCGATGATACACAAACTTCTGTATTGAAAATTGAAATAAACTACAACTACAGGCAGTATATATATACAGGCAGTGGTGTCAAGTAACGAAGTAAATGTACTATTTTTGAGAAGTTAGCATGTAACAAAGTAAACTTTTTGTGGAGTACTTTTATTTGGAACGAAGTCGTTTTAAGAAGTAACGTTTTACTTCGTTATTTTCATTTTGTGGCGAAGTATTTCGTTGCTTTCTCACATTTGTTTAATTTTACGTGATTTATTCCTGATTTATTTTAATTTTGGGATAGGTAATAGGACCTCTACATGCGTCTGGGATCTCTCATTTGTGGCTTACTTATAAGCATTATTTATTTAATGGATTTCTTATATGGGTCTGGAAAGTAGGCCATGCCGTGAAATATTGTATATTATGGTGCACGCATATAATGCGTGTGCTGTTTTGTGTCTTTTGTATGCCAATCCATTGGGGAAATCCCCCCCCCCCTACATGCTATAGACAATAGTACTTCTACTTTTACTTTGTACTTCAAGTATTTTTTAAGGATATTTTGTACTTTTTACTTAGTACGTTTTGCCTCCAGTACTTTTTACTCTTACTCAAGTCGTTTTATTGTTAATTTTTACTTTTACTCGAGTACAAATTCAAAGTAATTTAGCGCTGGCTTGGGCGGTTTTGCTTAAAATTAAAACCGAAAAACCGTCTGCTTCTAAACCGGTAAAACCGGAAAACCGGTTTTTTCCCTTTAATTTTTACTTCAACTGAATGAGCAAGAATTGTGGTATTTTTTTGACATAAGCAAACGAACAGTACACGACAAAACGCAAAATTGTGCAAAGGTAATCTAAAACGACTTCAGTTTGAAAATAAAAGGGTCAAGAACGCATTTGAAAACTTATACCTCTTTAGTTCTTACCGACTTTACGGAAAAAGAATAGAATTTGTATCTAGTGTCATGTAATTGAGTTTAATTAGTGTCATGTTTTGAGAATTAAGATCGAGTTTCGGGCGATGACAGTAAACAATTACGTAATGACGGTTTTCCGGTTTTTGTAAAAGCTAAACCGAAAAAAACCGGTTTGAAAATAAAACCGAAAAAACCCGAAAAACCGGTAAACCGCCCAAGCCTA